CACTTCATTTTATCGCGAAGAAACATATTCAGAGGTCCACTTACATTTCGAGAGTAACAATCTTGTCTCTCACAAGAAGAGTTCTGTCTGCAGTCTTCTAAGTCAAGCCAAATCATACCGCTCTGATATGGAAAGTTATCAAGGAGAAACGAAATACCTCTTCAAATTATTTTCTCAAAATGGGTGCTCGCGTGACTGTGCGTCAGTACATGAAGCACGACTTCAAACAGAAAGGTATTTCTAACATTCGCCCGGCGGACTCTCTTATACGTGAAAAGTGGGCCTGAGCTCGTCGTAGCAAACCAACCTGCAACTACCCTACATGCACAGTTTGTACGCCCTAAGGACAGGGTTGGCTATCCGGATAGAAAAGATGTTGTCAACAAGGTCTCATGTGCCACTTGTGATGCCGTCCATTGTGACCGGACTGAGAAATCTGTCTCATTCCGTATACATGAACATCGGCTAGCGGTGAGGAGACGAGATCATCTATCCCAAATGGCCATGAACGCTGTTATATCCCCAATTCGTATGACGCCAGTTCTGTGCGGAATAGAAGACAGACAGGATAGGAGGGAACAGCTTTACTGTGTCAGTCACCCTGTGTACATCAACTCTTAATCCTTCCGTCCGTGGCTTCGTATTTAAGGGTTCAGCCTTCGTCTGGTTTGCGTGTTCCTATTGGTCCAGTCCTGAGCGCCTGCATGGGCAGGCGCTCGCGTGTTGCTGGCCCCTGGAGGTCGAGCACGACTCAGCGGCGTGCGAATGTCTGGCTCGCATGCGGGCTTCCTAAGCGAGGCTGTCCGGCGAGTTTACGGTTCTTTGTCAGGCGTGACCGCCGGACGACTGGAACGGTGCGTCGTGTTCTGGGCCGTCCTAACAAACGCACTGGACATAAAATTGCGTGGGAGAGCACCCGCCTTGTTGGCGCCTGCCCGTTAAAGAACGGCCGCGAATTCCTGGCGTGCATTAATCGACACATCGATTTAGATGCCACGTACAAATTTCCCAAGGACAAATGAAAACGAGCGTAGCCAATGTCGAGGGGATGAAGAAATCCGATTGACGCGCATTGATGCAGTCTTCGGCCAATCACAGAATCACTCGTTTGACACGGTTGAATAGTTAGCTGTTTTGTACACGACCCGGTTCGATGAAGTGATTATGACCCATCTGGTAGACCCCAGTGATGGACCAGCTGCACCAGGTGTGTCTGTGCGCATGTTTGTGTTTGCGGTCCCAGATGGTGGTCAGGGTTATGATTGGCTGAGGGAAGGCAAACAAGTCCAAAACAGTGCTGTATCAATCAACCCCCCAGACTCTGTCGTTCTCCCCTCTGATATATATGTCTTGGAATAACAAAAGTGCTCTGATGTATAGGTACTCCTCACTGTAGTTCGTAAATGATTAACTTATTTAGGGAGCGGAACACTGAAATCTCTGAAAGTTATGATTTCTGAGCTGTATACCGAAATCAACTCAGGTAATTTTTTAATTGTATATATGATAAAGGACGCGGGCCGTCTTCTAATCGCATTTTAACGCGTTCACATCAGTAAAAATATATAGTAACTGAGGAAGGTCAAATGGAATGTATTTAAGGTGATGACTAACATTAAACACCATCGACTGCCTAGTTGACCTCACAAAAACTTAAAAACAACGGAAATCTCTGCAGGTTGAGCAGACTCGCTGTCCTACGATCTTATGGTACACTATGTTTGTGCTTTGTTATGATTTATCGTGGCAGCCTATCCCTGCGATCGTCTCATGCTCCTCGTAAGTCCAATCTTAGAGCCGTGTAGGACTTGTCGACGCTGCCTCCCTGGCTGACTGGCTGTGGGCGGACAAGGCCAAGATGCGCACACTAAGACAATGTTGCCCAGTAACCTCACCGAAACATACCTGAAACGACAACTTACTGCAATTATTTGCTGAGCTGCCTGTTCAGTAGATGTGCTGACTCCTGCAATGCTGTGAGTTTTGCAAGGAAATTCCTGAAGGCAAGATCCTCCAACGTTGTGTCCTCCAGCCAGATTTTAATCGAATTCTTTGATAAACGTATGCCAGACTACCCACTCAAATTTCGGTCGGAACGTTTTGTAGGTTAGGCCATCTACTGTATGCTCTCTAGCCCCCGTAACGCTTGTGCAAACTAATATGTCTTCCCTGTCTTGCGATTTGTGAACCTTCGCGTTGTCGATCCTCCCCTCTTCGGCATGGTCGTATATTTAATTCCTGATGGCTTATTTCAGATAACATGCCGAAAATAATGCCAGATGCCCAAGTAAGCAAAAAGATTTGAACAGCTCTGTGATAAAAATCCCCTGTGGATCATCCATCTGCTGTATTTTATTCCTCTTGATTTGATCCGGCCTAACCCGCTGTAGAGATCCAGGAGCCAATCCCGGACGAGGCCACAGAGAACGATGTCTGATTGAATTGCGAACACATCCGGTTTCCCCGTGGCGTATGTGGCCTGGTCCTCCGGTTCCTAGCATGTTTAATAATTTCCTCCTCCAGAACATCCTTTGTCTCGCTACACTCTACACTTCCGTCCCCAAATAAACTGCCCCTTATCGTAAGTTCTTCTCTGAAGCACTGAGCGACTGTGGATTTCCGTTATTATTGATTGTGATTTAACGATTTTTGCATCGATCCTTCATAAATTACATGCCTATTATCACTTTCAATATGGTTACTTCCCAGTATCGTGGCATACGGAAACCGATTGATCCGTCTTCTATTTCATTTTATTAGATATAAGGGGTGTACGGGTGTCCAGCTGTGCGCTCATGTGATGGTCATAATAGGCCGCTCACTTGCTTGCATGTGCAGACTACACCTAGCGTTCATTTGTTGACACCCAACTCTCACATGTGGCTCCCCGAAGCTGGGCTCAGCCTGGCGGTCGCACGCCGGTAACCGCCTCAACCGGCGAACTAAACCAGGTGAGAGTACCCGTGTGTGCATCTGCGCACACAGTATTGTGGACTCCGCTGGGCGGCTGGTCGGATTGAAATTCGCATCGGCATCGCCGAGATGAGGCTCCGTCTGTGCGCCGAAGGAGGCCAAAAGCTTACGGCGATGCAAGCTCCTCAGGCTAGCTCGAGTCGTTCTTTCACTACATCAAAGCCGTGGCCAATAGTGGAGTTAGGCAACGCCTGACAAAACTGAGCAGCCCTATCCAGTGAGGCACTGCTTGCTCCCGCAAGGAGGCAGGGAGTAGGGAAAAGTGCCCTAAAGAAATGCTGGGGGGCCACGCCGTCTGCAGACTGACCGTGGTCGCAGACGTTAAACTCACGGTCGAAGCAACCACCAAAGAAACAACAGCAACACACTCCCTTCCTCTTCCTGCTTGTTCTCCCTCTTCTTCTTCTTCTTCTCACCGCCGCCCATTTGCGAGACTGATAAGGTGAGTCCGCTCACTCTGGCAGTCTGGAATGTTCGTTCGCCTTTAGACAATCCGAGGGGCAACTGACCAGAACGTAGGACGGAGCTAGTGGCTCGGGATCTAACGCACTACAAGGTGGACAGCGCTGCTATCAGCGAGACCCGGTTCTCCGAACAAGGCCAACTGGAGGAGGTGACCGCTGGCTACACCTTCTTCTGGAGCAGTCGTCCTAAGACAGAGCGGCGGGACTCGGGCGTCGCCTTTGCGATCCGAAACGACATCATGGGACAACTACCCTGTCTGCCGCAGGCATAAGCGATCGCCCGATGAGACTTCGCCTGCCTCTTCGGGAAGTTAAATTCGCCACCATTATCAGCATCTACGCTCCTAACACCAAAAGAGGCAAATTCTACGATGACTTGTGTAGTGACATTTAAGTCTGTCTTGTTTTAATCAGTTACAATACGCTTTGACACAACTTTGAATAAGACAAAGAACACGCACGTGCATGTTTACCTGCTGACGACTTTGTTCTTATTTACTAGTTTGTAACTGTTGGGATACTGCTATTTTCGTTTCCTGGATAGCCTACTTGCTGTGCCCAACTAGTGGGCTTGTCTCTTACACTGGTGACCCTATATCGTTCATAGCTCCTTCTGTTTAATCTCTGCGCATAGCTATTTCCATTCGGATTAATCCTCACTCTTATTTTTATCGATCAGATTATTCATCTAGCCCTTATTTGCTATTCACACTGTCTCACCTTTTCATCCTATACGAGCGCTACCCTTCAATCTCTCTGTCAACGCCCCATTCCTCTACCCCATTTATCTGACCTCTGACCGACCCCGGCTAATTATGTCCAGCGATTCTACCAGCCAGCAGATAGCCGACTTTCAGTGAGAGCCTTCAACACACTAGTCTTCAACTCGAAGCCATTCCTTTTTCCACCACCCCCGGTACAATCTTGTGTGACGTATCGCGCGGTGCCTCCCGACCCGTAGTGCCGAGCGAGATGAGACGAGATGTTTTTGCCGCGTTACACAATCTAGCTCACCCTGGCATCCGCACTACCCAGCGCCTCGTCAGCGAGCGGTTCGTTTGGCCAAACATGAACACTGATATCCGCCAGTGGATCCGCTCATGTTTGGCCTGTCAGAAGGCCAAAGTCGGACGGCACAACAAAGTCCCCATTGACACTTTTCTCGCACCCGACGCACGTTTTTCACATGTCCATATCGATCTGGTAGGTCCCTTTCCAACATCTCGTGGTTGCAACTACTTACTTACTGCGATTGACCGATTTATTCGTTGGCCCATTGCAACTCCCATACCTAACATGACTGCAGATTCCGTTGCTCATGCTTTTTTGGAACACTGGATCTCTCATTATGGCATCCCCTCAACAATAACCACCGATCGAGGTCAACAATTCGAGTCTAGACGTTTTAACAGCCTTACCAACCCCCTCGGATGTTCTCGCATACGCACGACAGCATATCACCCCTCATCCAACGGTTTGGTCGAGCGTTTCCACCGGCAACTCAAAGCCTCGCTCCGAGCTCATGACAACCCTTCCCATTGGAGCGAGCATCTGCCTTTGGTCATGCTCGGTATCCGTACCGCACTCAAGCCCGACTTGGAGTGTTCCGCTGCCGAACTTGTCTACGGTACTGCCCTACGGATTCCAGGTGATTTTTTTCGGGTACTCTCAAAGCTCAACCGACTTGGATCCCAGCGATTATGTGCAAACATTGCGCCAAGCCATGACTCATCTTCGAGCCACTCCTCCACGTCCTTCAACAAGTAAGTCGTACGTCGACCCGAACTTACTAACATGTTCTTTTGTATTTGTCCGCGTAGATAGCGTTCGCCGGCCACTACAACAGCCCTATGACGGCCCATTTCGAGTACTATCGCGCAAGGGCAAGCACTTTACAATTGACCGTGGAGGCCGCACCGACGTGGTCTCAATCGATCACTTGAAGGCGGCTTATACCGAGCCTCTTCCAACTTCTCCAACCGAACAACCTCCACTTGGCACATTGCCACTTACTATTTCGCAGACTCCATTTACGCCCAATAACCCCGCGTCTTCCCTTATCCCACAGACTCCTCCCATTACGCGCAGCGGTCGTCATGTCCGTTTTCCCGACCTTTACCAACTTGTACAATATGCATAACGCTCCCACATTTTCCTTCTATTAACAATAATTTTTTTGAACTCCGTTCTCCTAGTAGGGGGAGTATTGTAGTGACATTTAAATCTGTTTTGTTTTAATCAGTTACAATACGCTTTGACACAACTTTGAATAAGACAAAGAACACGCACGTGCACGTTTACCTGCTGACGACTTTGTCCTTATTTACTAGTTTGTAACTGTTGGGATACTGCTATTTTCGTTTCCTGGATAGCCTACTTGCTGTGCCCAACTAGTGGGTTTGTCTCTTACACTTGCATGCTTTCCTGGCGACAAGGTGAACCGCGTAGGACTGTGGAAAATCATGCAGAAATTCAACTGTTTCAAACGATTCACTCCGATTGTGCATCAGCTCCACGATGGAATAATGGCGCGACTCATGGACAATTGAGCTGTCTCAGAGGCATTCGCAGTGACCAACGGAGTGAAGCAGAGCTGCGTCCTGGCACACACCCTCTTCAGTCTAATTTCCTCTGCCATGATGATGGACGCCTTCCGGGACGAACGCCCCGGGATCCGCATCGCCTACAGGACGGATGGTCATTTACTCAACCACAGGCGGATGCACTTCCAGTCACGGGTTTCCATAATCACCGCCCACGGACTTCTCTTCGTCGACGACTGCGACCCAACACTGTTTCGGAAGGGGACATGCAAAGGAGCATGGACCCAGTCTATGCCGCCTGCGAAAACTTTGGTCTGTTAGTTAACATGGAGAAGATGGTGGTCACGCAACAACCGCCACTCAACACAACCAACAATGCGCCGCAAATGAGCGGGAAAGGAATCTAACCGCAAATCAGAAGATGAAGATGCGATCACTGGGACAAGAAGTTTATTTGCCTGACGTTTCGGATTCTCACTCGAACCCATCATCAGAGACATTCGCAGATAGAGGTGAAGGTGGCACCAGGAGTGCAGTATTTATAGCACGTGGGTGCCGTGGGACCGTATGCGCACTGCAATTAACAGTTCTCACAATCGCCGCTGGGGTCGTAATTGATGCGGCGGTGGCTTGGCGGTCCGAGTCCGAGTTGGTAATTGCCGCGATTTCGTCATCCGTGCTCGATGCTGGTGTGACGATTGCTCGGCAAACTGGCTCACTGTCACCGTGATAATTGCTCACCCGCGCCCTCCCCACGTGACTGATTCTCCTGCCCAGGGAAAATCGCAATACGGAATAGGCCACCGGGAGGTCATTGTGTTTGTTGATGGATTGCGGGCCTGAGAACCATGACTCGAGCAGCTCGCGGCTCACGCGGTTGTCACCCCTTACGAGGATTTCGGCCTCTTGAAATTTGAAATTATGACCGGGTCCCGTCGAGTGTGCCGCCACCTGAGAGTTAACGTCTCCCCGCCTCACTGCTGCTGCGTGCTCGGCAAGTCGCGTACGGAGTAATCTCCCAGTTTCTCCGACATAATTGCTTTCTCCGCAACTACACCAGATCCGATAAACGACTCCAGACGTTTCCTGCCGTGGCAGCGGGTCTTTTGGCCTCATTACTTGGCGCCTAATGGTTGCTTCCGGCCTGTGTGCAACCCCAACTCCAAGTGGAGTGAGAAGACGACTGACGGCTTCCGAGACGTTCTTCACGTACGGAAGAGCCCGCCAAAATTTGGGGCTAGTTGGATTTGGTCTCTGGTGTCCTTTTCGTATGCACTGGTTGACAAAGTTGCGCGGGTAGCCATTGGCTCTCATTACCCGTCGAAGATATTGTAATTCAGCAACCTTGTCTTCCATTTCACTGCAGTGCGTCTCAACACGCCGGTATAGCGCCCTTACGCAACTGCGTTTGTGACTGATCGGGTGGTTGCTATTGAAGTTCAGTATTTGCATCGTATTTGTCGCTTTCCTGAACACTTTGGTTTTTAGGCCACCACAATCTTTGCGACAGACGAGGACATCCAGGAAGGCCAGCTGATTGTTTTCCTCCTCGTCCATCGTAAATTGAATGTCCGGGAAGACGGCGTTGAGTTGTTCTTTGAAAGTCAGCACCTGATCCCGTTCGATGACGACAAAGGTGTCATCCACATACCGAGCCCAGAATTTCGGTCTGTGGTGTCGGAAAAACCAGCGACTCCAGCCGTTGAAGGACCGCCTCGGCTATGAGTCCCGAAATCGGCGAACCCATTGGCGTTCCCTTCACCTGCTCGTAGATTGTTCCGTCGAATGTAAAGTACGTCTTGAGACAGAACTTCAGGAGCTGGATGATTTGGGCGTGTCCGAGGCGATTCTCCGTTTCGTCGTACTTCTCTCGTAGGAGTAGTTCGATTGTCTCGACTGCCAGGTCCTGCGGGATAGAAGTAAAAAGGGACGTGACATCAAAGGATCGCATCTTCATCTTCTGAACTGCTACCTGGGACTCGCCTTTTCGCTTCTATCAGCAATCTTTTTGGGCGCGAAGCGCTCCGATCGGCTCGACGGTGGGAAACCTTTGCCCTTCGAGAGTCGTCAACATATGCGCAGATTCGATTTCTGCACAGGTGTCTCGACAACAATGTGCTGCCGAAGTGCGTTTCATACAAACCTCCGGTCAACACAGAGCTGGCGAGACGCGCAGTACTTCAGCACGGCCGACGAATGATCCGAGTGCTCCTTCAAGACTGTGACTCACGGATTCGCAAATACCGTCAGAGGATTGACCAAGAGAAAGCAAGGTGCTGCGAGTTCATGGGCGAGGACGGCATAAAACTGCTTCAGCAGAGGCTGGCCGAACGAACCCGCGAACATAAAGCAACGCGAGAAGCAGCCCTAGAGAACAAATTTCGTAAGCTGCCTGCTCCAATGTCATCCAAGAACGACAAACTGGTGCACAACTTGTCGTCAAAGGAGCTGACGGAGGAACAAATGCAGGTTTTACGGCATGAGGCCTCATTCAACACAGGCGATGCCAAACCTGCCAACATGATCGCAGCAGTGGAATCAATCCTCAGCCAGACGGGAGCGACAGACGAAACGAAGAACCTCATTCGACACCAAGTGTCCTCCCTCCTCATGGCTCATAGGCCGCGCGATGTGCTTTCCAAGGTCGAGCGCAATGCACTTAAGGAACTCAGGGCCGACAACGACCTCGTTATCGTGCCTGCGGACAAGGGGCGTTCAACGGTCGTATTGGACAGGACAGACTACAATCAAAAAGCCAAAAGCTTGTTGGAGGATCGTCAGTCCTATGTGCCATGCGAATCCAACCCCATGAAAACGCTGACACGCGAGATTAACGCGACGATGTTGGCAATGGAGAACTCAGGTGCAATATCGCCAATCGACCGACGCATGGCGAGAGCACAGGAAACGGCCCTAGCCCGATTCTACGGTCACCAAAAAGTGCACAAAGAGGGCGCTCCTCTCCGGCCTATCGTGTCACTAAAGGGCACTCCAACCGACGGACTGG